GAGGGAATAAAGGAAAACAGGCCAGGGAGCTGGGACACCTTCCATGTCTCCAGGCGTCAACATAGAAGCCTAGTGGGTGGTTCAGGTCTTTGGAGAGCCAGCTAGCAAGAGTATGCTGAAAACAGCTGCAAGCATAGAACATGGGGTTAACCAAGTGACAGAATTCTAGTGTTTTTGTGGACTGTGATGGAATGAGGAGCCGTGCGAAGTCCCACATTCTAAGCTGAGGACCAAAACAGGCTAAACTACAGCCCTTTTCACCTGTGCAAGGTACTGTGAGAATTAGAGACAGTGTTTGTGCCTGGACTGCAGTCTCTGTGTGACAGTGGCATGCTTCAGCTATGAATTATCACAGCTCACTTGATATCTTCATCAGTAAACAAGTTGGCAGCACTTGTTTCACGGTCACTCAAGGTTTTAATCTCTTGGTAGCTTTAAAAGCACCTCACTCTGCTCCTCTGTTACCCTCAGCTCTGTGGTTATTTCAGGAGGGCTGGAGCCGGGTATCACCAATGGGTAAGCACTGGGCTACTAGCCAAAAGGTTGGAGGTTCAAATTCACCCAGAGGCAGCTTGGAGAAAATGCCTGGTACTCTCCTAAGGGGTCAGAGCCTTGCAAACCCCAGGGAGCACAGCTCGAGTCTCACAGACATGGGGTCGCTGTGAGTTGGAATCCACTCAGTGGCAGCTGGTCCTGCCTAGGCATCACAGAGGTCATGCAGAGCTTGATCACCATGCTTCCATGTCCAGGACACAGGTGATCTTTCTGGCAATGGCCTTGGACCCTATGCTCTCATAGGAATAGCCTCACTCACTGCATCCATTGTTCAGGTCTCTGGGAAGAGGTGGTGGTTCTATGAGGCCGTCCCGGGCCAGCTGAGAACCACTGGTTTAGCCCACAATTACCAGTTCCTGGTTGAGTTGACCCCAACTCACGTAACCCAGTGTGGGTCAGGGCAGTACTGCTCCATAGGGTTTTCAATGGCTGATCCGGAAAGAGATCTCCAGGCCTTTCTTCCGAGGCACTGTGTGTGGACTCAAACCTGTAGCTTTTTGGTTCACAGCCAAGTGAGTTAACCATCTGCACCCCTGGGGACTCCTGGCTCATAATAAACACCAAAAGTGCTCCCTGCTTCATGCCAGCACAAGAATGCTGGCCAACATGTCGCTTCTTGCTCCTTGGGGCTCTGTGACTCTTCAGAGTTTATAGTTCACACCCAGCTGTTCCAATATGCAGTTAGGCTCCATTCTGAGAGACCTTCATTGGAAAGAAACCATTTCATCTGTCTAAGGGACACTTAGTTCTTTAGTCACAGGCCCTATAAAAGCACAGCTGCCATTTAGGACCTTGTTGGAAAATGATCCAAGGACCCACAAAATCCTCTAAGAAGCACTTTGTCCAGCTGTGTGGCCAACGAGCGGTTGTAAGCCATTTTGCCTCCCGACAGTCCCAGTGGGAACGTGGCCATGTACACAGTAGGTGCTCAGTAAGTGCTCATGGCTTGACAGCAAAAAGAAGTCATTCGGAGCTGAACCTGCAAGTCCCTAGACATGAAGTACAACAGACCCAGCCCAGGTCCTTGGCTGCTGCCATGCAGGGATGGGGAGTTGGACTCCTTCAGCCACTGGAAGGAATTGGTCAATGATACCAGGCCTTACACCATGTTAGGGGGTTGCATGAGGAGAAGCCACTGGGCAGGGGGAGATGGTGCTTTAGAAAGACCCCTGACTCCAGCATGGAGAAGCAAGGAAACAAATCAGGCCTGCGGTGCTGGTGACCTGGGCTGGGGGGGGGGGGGGGCCTTGGGGATGAGAGAACTGGCCCGTCACACAGAGGCTTGAGAGCTGTGACTGATGGTATTTTAGCCAAGGGAGTGGATGCCTCCCAGGTTTGGGGTTTGGATCAGAATGGGATTTTCAAGGTTTTCTCGCTGTGGGCTACAGTAAGAAACACATTCTATCTGGACACAGAATACACACACACACACACACACACATACCCCTTACACATATGTGTGCATACAACACACACCTTACACATCCATGTGCACACATCACACATTCCACATCCACCACACACAACACACACACCTTACACACATCCTTTACACACGTGTGTGCACATACACACCATACATTCCACACATTCATCACACATAAAACACACACAACACATTCTTACACACGTGTGCACCCACCATACATCATACACAGCATAACACACACACCTTACACACACGTGTGTACACACCATACACTCACCATACACCACACACCATAACACACACTTTACACGTGCACACATACATACCACACACACCATATACCACACACATACCTTATACACGTGTGTGCACATACACCACATACCACATACTACACACTCTCGCCATATACCACACTCATAGTAACACACACATACCCCACTATTTTAAAGTTTAACAACATAACCTTATTTTGTGAAATACTCTGTATTTGACTCTATTTCCTATTTCTCTTTCTTGTCTTCCTTTTTCTTTCCTCCTCCCTCCTCCCTGCCCTCCTCCCTTCTCCGACTCCCCCTCCTTCTCCTCCTCCTCCTCCTTCTCCTCACCCATGCCACCCACTACACCGTTTCATGACTGGTTTTGACTCCAGTCTGGAAGCCCCTGCCAGAGAGGGACAGGAGGTGGCAGCTCTATGACAGGAACACGCAGCTGGGCTGGCAGGCAGTCCAGGAGGCTGTTACCCTGGGCCTCCCTTCCTTCCAAGACCCTTCCTGTCCCAGCACTGGTGGCCCTGTCCCCATCAAGTGTACCTCGTCCCTTCAGGGGAGAACCCTCTGTGCTTTTCAAGGCATCAGCCTGTAAATCCCATCAATCGATACAGGAAGATGAGCTCATAAAACATGCTTGGAGTCTGGAGAGGCAGGCTCAGGCTTGGCAAGTTTCTAAAGGTCCTTTCAACCAAACTGCTACTGGATGCCTGGGCCTCTGACAGTGTCTCCACGCGGTGCACAGTGTCTAGTACCACAGCTCATCCCAGACAGGTGGTTTCACCTCAGATAATTCTGACTCTCGACCACTGGGAAATTCTCTTTTCATGAGCTAGAATTTTCCCCTGTAGCTCCCACTACTGAACCAACGCTACCCCTCAGAGTCAGAAACACCCTGACTCTCTCTTCCATACAATATGCATTCAATAAATACTTACTGGGCACACACCAGCTGGACTTCCAAGGCTTCGGTCTGTCAGCTAACCACCCCCAAATACAACGACTATTTCTCACCTGGTGTTATTCAAGGTCTCACTGTCCGGGCTGCTCTAAAACGATCAGTGAATGAGCTGCCCTCCATCTTACCTGGTGGACATAGCAACGAGCACCCAGCTCTATCCAGTGACCCTGGCACTGCCATGAGAACATGGCAGGCCCCAGGGGCACTTCCAGGCTGAGGCAGCCTGGGAGGGAGAGACTTGAGGGTGGTCTTACACATCCCAGGGAGGCCCGATTCATCCCCCCATGCCAGACAAAAATATTGTGGCTCCATGTGTTAGGTCCGAGGAAAGATATCAAACCCAATTGCTCTTGACCTGCCTCAACTAATTCCATCTCATCAGAACCAGAGAAGCCAGCCAGCATCCCTGGGGATGGACGTGTGGTTATGTGTCCCGGGTACAGGGTGGAGTTTGTACCCATCTATAAATACATGGCATGTATGATCTCCCCTGACTCTAGAACACAAGCCAGTTGTTTATTTCCCCAAATTGCACAAGACCACAGTTCTGTCTAGTGGCTGTGGCATCCTTTAGACTTTTGTTCTAAATATGGAGAGGCAGTCCGCCACGGAGAAGTATCCCAGCAACTTGGAGCTGATATGTAATTAAACCGCCCCTAGATGTGTGGTAGTTATGTTTTATGACTTATTTTGAGTGTTCATACTTTATCAGATAATTATAATTTTCCTTTATGTAAGAGTTTTTACCAGGCTTTTGAAAGATGATGGCTGGTCTGATATTTCAAGTATAATTACAGCAGTGGAAAGAGATGGCGTAACACGGGGTCCTGAGAAGTGTGGTCCTCCCAGCCTCCCACCTCCCCCGCCCTGCAGTCACGGAGCTGGGGCACCCTGGCTGACCCGACGGGGGGCCCATCTTTGACCACTTGGTGGGAGTGGCTGGAGTTAGAAAGGCCCCAGGAGGCTTGAGAAGAAAGGTTGGGGAGATGGGGAGTCCTGCTCAGGCTTCCCAGCGAACATGCTACTCTGAGGACTCCCGGCCACTATTGTCCACTGTGGTCTCATCTCCCCCCACTCTCGGTTAACACACTTTCCCAAAACTATAGCTGCAGCTGTTTCTTGTTTATGAGCTTATGGTCTGTGTCCCCACTACATTGTGACCTCCTTGAGGGCCAGGGCAGCTTCTTCTTTGTTCAGTACTCCACAGCCAGGAGCCAGGTCCTCACAGGGGTCAGGCCTCCGACGAGTGTGTGTGTGTGTGTGTGTGTGTGTGTTTTGAATGAGAAAAATGAATGAGTGAACTAATGAATGAAAGGACAGAGAAACATCCTGACAGGGGTTCTCATTGAAGCGGTTCTGCAGGGACTGGGTCTGCAGGACTCTCCTCTGTCCCTCCCACCTCTCCCCACCTCAGCTACCCCTCCCCCACACACATACACTAAGGACATGGAGGAATGACTTTGTCAAACAGCCCGCCTGATAAGCCGGACATACAAAACCCCTGCCACAAAGGACAGGCCTGAGAACTCAAGCCACGGAGACCAGGCTGCCCCCAGGAAGCCTGGTTTTGTCCTCAGGGACTCGTGGGGTGGGGAGTGGCACAGAGGCATAAAGCTGCTGTCCTGGCCCTTGGCCTTGTGTCTTCAGACCATTGACCATTAGCTCTCAGGTTCTTCCTCATCCTGAATGGTGGTTGTCAGTGGTCGCCAGTGGATGTTGTCAGGACCCTGTATTCCCTCCTGAGGCAGCTTCCTGTTCTAACCCTCTTCCTGTTGTTTCCCATCAGGCATCGGGCTTGGAGCCCAAGCCGGTAGCCAAGAGCATTCTATTTCTGCGTGACAAGAGGTGGGAAGAGGTCAGAGGTGTCCTGACTCCTGCCTTCAGTCCTGAGAAGCTGAATGAGGTAAGACCCACCCAGGAACACAGGTTTTTGTCCCCTGAGGAGCAGGTTTCTTCTCTCTCAACTGTGGTGAACTGTCCATTCACGATGTCACCTGCACATGTGACCAACCCAAATGTCCTGCCTGCTGGGGCTTTCAACCCCCCCATGTGCCCAAAGCCCAGGAGACTGTCTATGTGTGGCTTTACTTCACCAACCTCCCTGCCCCCAAGTGCTATGGATCCACCTGCCGTGACGCAAGATGCACCCTGGGTACATTGGGGCACATGAGAAAACCCAGAGCCTCACTTCTCACACTTTACTGCATAACAGACTGCCTGGGGACCTCGTGAAATGCAGATTCTGGGCTTGGGGTAGGGTCTGGATTCTGCAAGTCTAATGAGCTCCCAAGTGGTGCCAATGGTGCTGGTTGGAGATGCACATTTTCCACAGCAAGGAACCAGAGAAGGGCTCTGAAGGAAGGTGAGCTTTGAGTCAAGTCTTAGGGAAGTGATGGCCACGATTACTGGGAAGGCGTCATGGGACATGGCCTGGCAGCACCCAGGCAGGCAAGGTAGGCAGGGGCAGGTGTACCCAGCTTAATGCTCATGGCTAAGCCGGAGAAGCTGGGCTCTGGCTCTCCCCTTCCCACCAATAACTGCCTTTCCCCACCAGCCATGCATATCAACCCGTGTCTGTACTGCTGCCCTGCCGGTTCTCCACACTTGATCCTGACTGTGGGGCTCCTATTGGGCCTGCCAGTCTGGCTTTGGTGTCTATTGTCCTGAATTCTGCAACAGCTCAGGAGGTAGATCGTCAGCCCTTCTTCTGACATGAAGTAGTTAAAGGGGCCAACTTACATTGAGGCCCAAGTCCATGGGCAACTCCAGAGCAGATGAACTTTGGAGCCTGGCCCCCTGGGCACAGCTGTCCACCAATTCTGGCTGTTCCAGCACACCCAAGCTTGGAGGAGACTGTGTTCAGTTCAAAAGGTGAAAGCCAGGGTGCTGGAAGCTAAGCCACCGATACTGCAAATGCCAGCAGGGCCAGACTGACAGCAAAAATGACAATTTCTCCTTTCTCACTGCACAGCGTTTGTGAGATGGAGCTCCCCACCTGGCCCAGTGGGCTTGCTGGTGCAGCCCCCAAGGGAGAGGGGCAGCCAAGAACAGAGCACAGAGTCCCCAGTTCCCTCCTCCAGGCGCCCTGTAGGGAAGAGGGTGCGTGCAGATCCCATTGGATCACCTTGGGACACAGGAGGACTTTGGAAACCACTGATCCTGGGTCCTGGGAACGCTGGTGTGCACTGGGCTGCAGCCTGGCTCTGGAGATGTGTCAACACACCCAGAAGACTCTAACGGAGAGCCAAAGCTGAGACCTCAGCTGGTGGAAGGTCCCCGTGAGAAGACATGAGTTCTAGCCCACTATTAAGCCAAGCAATCCATCCTGCTCCCCATACATCTATGTTACAGATGGAGCTTTCATGTGAACATGTGTTTGAAGGAAGAGCCTAGTCTTTGGAAAGGAGTAGGCACTGTTCCCGACCACCTAAAGAAGCCCTGGTAGGACAATGGTTGAGCTCTAGACTGCTAACCAAAAGGCTGATGTTTAAGTCTCCCCAGGGCTCCAGCGGAGAAGGCCTGGGAAAGGCTATGGGGCAGTTCTTCTGTGTGTAAGGGGTCACTGTGAGTCACATCCAACAACAACACTGCAAGCCAAGTGCAGTGCAGTAGTCAATAAAGATAAGACAAGTCCTCATCACACGTACATCAGGCAAGATGAGACATGAACACAACTGAGGAGAATAAATGCAATGATACCTGGTGATTGAGCTATGAGAATACAGAGTGGGAAGGGTCAGGGCATCCTGGGCCTAGGTCCTGAGACCTGGGAAGCAGAGGTCAGAGAAGGCCAGTGTGCTGGTTCCCTAGTGCCGCTCAGACAGGAATATAGCACAAATGAGAGGTCTTGAAGAAACAGGAGTTTATTCTCTAATAGTTTGGAGGCTTTAAGTCCAAGTTCAAAGTGCCAGGCTCTAGGGGCTGTGTGAAAGCCCCTGAACCTTGAGCTCCAGCTTTGCTTCCTGCTCCCAGCCCACTGGAACTAGAGGCTTTGCTTCACTCAGACAGCTACTGCCTGCTGAGACTGACAAGCCCAAGGTTGACAAGTAAAAAGGCACAGTCCCAATGTTACAAAACCACATGGCAGGCCATTAATTCAAGTCCACTGAAAGTCCCAAGGCCTGCAGAGCATGGCAGGCTGCTGAACAACAACACAGCTACATGCAGGGTTCAAGCATGCCATAAGCTAGAGACCATTCCCAAAACTGCTTCATATATATGGGAAGCTACTTTATACATCCCTAAAGTAGCTACTCAGCTGCTCCAATACAATCCACCATGGAGTTAATTACCAATCTTACCATGGGGAATAACTACATCCAGCTGCCCAACCACTCAACCAGGCCCAGCCAAGTTGACACCCAAACTTAACTACCACAGTCAGAAAGAAACCAAGAAGGACAACACTTGGTGTGTCCACTCGGGCTGTCATAATCTTTCCCAAACTCTCTGCCAAAGAGTTGATTCCAACTCATAGTGACCCTGTAGGACAGAGTAGAGCTACCCCATAGGGTTTCCAAGGCTGTTATCTTTACAGAAGCAGACTGCCACATCTTTCTCCCATGGAGCAACTGGTGGGTTTGAAGCACCAACCTTTTGGTTAGCAGCCAATGGCACCCAACAACAACCACCTGGACCAGGGGGATGGAGTATTTGACTCCATTACACCTGAGCCACTAAAAGCCAATTAACGGAGATGGGAAGGGGAAGGTAGGCAGCTGACCTCTGGGCTGACTTCACTGACTCAAAACATGTTGTCATATGTCTTTATTCCCACGTAAACAGTGCGTGACACCATAGATGCACCAAGAATCTCATCACCTGTTAAAAAGAAATTGATAAAGAAGAAAGCTCCAATGGTCTTGAGCGATGATTCTTTGCAAAAGGAAAACCTCAGGGTCTGGATTTCTTTAGCACCTATAGGGTATATTCCAGAAACAAACCCACTGCCCCTGGGATCCAAAGCATCTTCTCCTTCTGCTTCAGAAACCAAATCCCTAGCACCTGAGTCAGTCACGGAAAACAGACTTCTCCCGTCTGAATGCTCGGCTGGAGAAGACCTGCCTCTAAGCGCATTCCCGTGGTGATGGCAGGATTCATCTCCTCATGGCTGTTGGTCAAATGGCTCCATTCAGTTCCTACTGCTGTTGGCTTGAGGCCTCCTTCCATTCTTTGCCACGAGGGCCTGTCCATAGAACAGCTCACTACACAGCAGCCACTTCCCCAAAAAGGCTATCAGAGATGGAAACCACAGTCTTCAGTGATGTATGCCTGGACGTGATAGTCCATCACTTCTGCTGAATTCCATTCATAAGAAGGGAGTCACCAGGTTAAGTGCACACCCCAAGGGAGGGTGTTACCCAGGGTGTGAGCACCAGGCCATCTCAGAGGCTGCCCGCGACACATGACCTCTCTGACTTCAGGGGAGGGGCTCTGGAGTGGAGGAGGGCTCCAGCTCACTCTGGAAGGCTGGGTGGGATGTAAAGTTGTAGAGAAAATGAGGACCTCCAGACTGGAGCTAAGGCACTTACATGGGAAAGGACAAGCAGTATTTGCAGGACAGTGAGTGTGGTTACGTTCAATTAACATGGAGGTTGTGGAAGATCAGAATAGAAAGGAGAGAAGTCTCCAAGGATGTTAGGAGAGGAGACTTTGTCCTTGGTCAGTGGGAATCTCCAAAGGGTTTTCAGCTAAGCACTACTCAGATGGTGAGTATGTTTAGAAGACTAGCCTGGTGACTACTGGCTTCAGGATGGATTGGAAAGTGAAAACACAGGAGGCTGGAAGGCTCTTTTGAAAGCTTTTTTTAGTATGCCTATGTATTGGACACTGTACAAGGTCGTAAGACCACAAAGATGCTTGAGATAGGGTCTTTGTTCCCAAGAAGCAGGATGACAGCCATATTCCAGGGGGTAATGCCTGAATTCGAGGGTGGCTGGAGAGACAGAGCAGAGGGGTAGATGCAAGAAAGAGATGATGCAAACACAGGGAGGCGAGAGTGGAGAGAATGACGGGAAGTGGTCCGCGAGGAACAAGAGGCAACAATGATTCCAGGTGTTCAACTAAACATCAAGAAAGGCAACCCTGCTGAGGATGGCTACCATGTTGGGACAGCTCACGGGGTCCTAGTGCTAAGTGCTTGCCATACTTTGTTTCTCATCTTCCTAATGGCTCCTCAGAGGAGGTCTCCTTGTTCCCATTCTCCAGATGAAGTAACAGATTCAGTAAGGTCATATACTTTGCCCCAGGTCATACAACCAGGAAGTACCAAGACAGGAAACCAAATCATTGGCCAGCATATTTTAACAAAGCCGGACTTTTACTCTTAGGAAGTTCCAGTGGTGGAATTCCAGGATCATGGAGAGGAGAGGAGAAAGCCACTGAACTGGAGGACTCCCCAGCCCTTCTGGGTCATTCCTCCCTGAATTGTCTTGTCAGCCCACTCATAAGGCCCTGCCCACCTTCTGGAATGAACTTGATTGCCTCTGTCTGCACCTTGACTCAGAATTCCTCAGACACATTTGATGGAGAACCCATTTTTCTTTTTAACTGGGCACTTCAACTATACAACAAACTCCAGGGAGTGGAGACTCCCTTCCTTGGGGAAATCCCTGCCCAGGCATCCCCTCAGTGGTTCCAGCTGGCTACCCAAGAGCTGCCCAACCAGATGCTCTGTGCCACCTTCAGGAAGTCTCCAAGGATGCTTCAGGAAGCATAACCAGTGCCAGAGGCGAGAGTCGTAAGATGGGGGTGGCTGTTGCAGGTAGCCCCCAGGTAGAGGTTATGTTGTAAAAAACCTCAGGCTTTAATAAGTTTATCTGAATGAGGGTGTAATATACGTGCATTCTGTGAAATAAAGAGGCACTATGGTGGCACAGCAGTTAAATGCTCAACTGCTAACCC